GTGAGAGAGAGAGAGAGAGAGAGAGAGAGAGAGAGAGAGAGCTCAGGGGTGGGGAGGATTCGTGTTCAGGAGGTGGGTGTGGTTAGGGGAGTTGGGGCCTTTGGGTCTGGCTGCGGAAAGTAGTTGGGTGAAAGAGAGAAGAGAGAAGAGAGAAGGGTGGTGGGGGTGACGGCTAGATTGGATGGTGGTATCATCCTTTGATTTTAATTTCTTTTAGTTTTAGATCTTTTTTTTTTTTTTTTTTTTGTGGTAACAAGGGAACTAAGAGCCCAGAACAACATTTTAGATCTTATTTAATTATCTATTTGTAAATTGAATTCAAATATATCTATTTTTTATTAATATTTAAACAGTTTTAACATTTTTTTAACATAAATTTAACAGATTGGATCACATTGGCTAATAGTCCTAAACACAGGGATCAAATTAGCCAAATTGAAAACACAGGGATTAAATTGGCCAACGTGATAAAACACAGGGACTATTTTAACATTTAAGCCTTATAAATTTAAGTTATATACTTTCATATACTTTTATCATAGAGTTTTACATACTTTTATCTACTTTTTTTAATATTTATTTTATAAATAGTATTTATTTTTTTAATATTTATCATAGAGTAGTATAATGAAAAAAGAAATTGATTCTAATATTTATGTTTTGTATGGTGAATTAACTAGTCCGCATATGGAACAAGTAGCAAAAAAAAAAAAAAAGGATACAATTGTGTAAAAGTAAAGAAATATTTTTCCATGTCTAAGAACTTTTCACTTGAGAACAGTCAAGTATGGAGAAAATAAGGTTGCAACTTTTGGATGCAACTCAAATATAAGGTGTGCCATCAATATTATGGATTTAATTAGTTTAGTTTGTAGAGCTGGGTCTTGGGGAAGAAGGGACAAATTATTCGATTGTTGGAACGAAGTTGAGATCCTCAAGACTTTCTAGAAGTATACCTTATCTGGGTGAGAGATACAAGTGAAGTGGCATGGTGATAGAGCCAAGCCAAATAACATCACCATAATGTGGGGTTAGCTGTAAACCCCGGGATGCTAAGAGCTAATTTGTAGTTGGAGCAATTGTTTAAAGCATTGAAAAGAAAAAAACAAGCAAGAAACAACTCATCATCATAACAATTCCTAGGACAGATAATTGAAGCCAAAAACAAAATCAAATTGGCTATATAGGTAGGCCATCTCTTGATAGTACACCGACCAAAGAAGGAGGGGCTCTAGAGACCCAAACATGATGGCACACCCTCGCAATGCCCAAAGCTGCAGCATGATCGAATTCATTGATAAAGTCTTGGGTAAATTAGCAAGACTTTTGATGTCAAGAATTAGGCTTGAAAGTATTGAAAAGTCATTCTTTTAATAAAGTTTTCAAAAGTCATTAATTTTTTGAATACCACAAAACTTTTAAAGACTTTTTAAAATCACAATTAAATAACACTAAATTTTTAAAGACTATTTAAATGTCATAATTGAATACCTCTAGACTTTTAAACTCATTAAAAGTATTTAAAAGTTAAAATTGAATACACCCCTAAGCACACACATAATTTTTAGAGCTTAAAAAATAAGAATTTACATCAGTAAAAAAAGAAAGAAAGAGGCTTTTCTGAATTCTCATCTTGTAAACGCAGAGCAGAGAGTCATACCTGGAAATCGATCCAGCAAATTTTGCCTCCAAATCAAAATCACCAAAATCCCAGATATCAATTTCCAAAAGAAATGGCCTCTGCTACCACAGACCCACCAACCCTTTCAACACTCTTTGCAGCCATTGACATGGGCACAAATTCGTTCAAGATGCTCATAGTTCGTGCATACCCAAATGGCAAATTCTTCACCATAGACCAATTCAAAGAGCCTGTGGTTCTTGGCCGTGATACCAGCACATCATCAACAACAACCCCTTTTACACTTTCACATCACTCCCAGCTCCTTGCCCTTGAAGCCCTTAAAAGATTTCAGAACATCTTGAAATCCTACAAAATCAACAAAACCCATGTCCGCTGTGTTGCCACTGCAGCTGTACGTGAAGCTGTGAACAAAGTTGGGTTTTTGAAATGTGTAAGGGAAGAGGTTGGTTTAGAGATAGATGTGTTGCCTGGTGAACAGGAAGCTAGGCTTGAGTATCTGGGTATGCTTCAGTTTTTTCCAATATATGAGAAATTGGTGCTGGGTGTGGATATTGGAGGTGGGTCTACTGAGTTTGTAATTGGGAAGCAAGGAAAAGTCATTTTTGGTGCTTCATTGAAGCTGGGACATGTGAATTTGACCCAAAAGTTTGGGAACAATGAAGAAAATGTTGCGCATATGAGGGAGCACATTAGATTGGTTGTTCAAGAATCTGGGTTGGTTGACAAGATTAAAGATTGTGGCTTTGAGGCTGTTGTTGGATCTTCGGGTACTATAAAGGCAATTGAAAAAGCATCCCTTTATGGGTATGCCAATGTGAGCAATATGCTCCAGGTCGGGATTATGGTTTCTTTTGGGGACAGTAAGAGGGATTGGAAGTTAAGTAGAGGAGAACTGAAGGGTGTTGTTGAGAGTTTATGTGGTGGAGGAGAGGCAGAGAAGAATAGGAGGGAGAAGTTCTTTAAAATGCGGTCCGAGTTTATCGTTGCCGGGGCTGTGCTATTGGAGGAGATATTTGAGGTACTTGGCATTGAGGAAATGGAGGTTTCTGGGTATGCATTGGCAGAAGGTGTTATTGCAGAAACTTTAGCTAAGGTTAATGATTATGATTTGAATGCCAATGCAAAGTGGTCGTCTATTGTGCGGCTCGCAATGAGATTTAATAGCAACAAGAGGATGAGAGCGGCTTCTCAGTGTGCTAGCATTGCAAAGGTATTCGGTGAATTTCTTATTTTGAATTTTTTCTAAGTATCTGTGATTTAACCAGAAGCGAGTGCAACATCTAGTGTTTTGAGGAGATGATTTTTGCAGGAAATTTTTGAATGTTTAAGAAAATGTGATGAACTTGCTGGCAATCAAGTTGCTGTCTCCCTAGATGACAAGGATCTTGAGTATCTTGAAGCATCATGTTTGCTTCACAATATTGGGCTTTCCATCGAGAAAAAGGGTTACCATAAGCATTCTTATTCTATTATCATGGTAATGTTTTTTTTTTCCTCTTAATAATTCAATAAACGTGCATTGAGAATCAGCTGGAAACATTCTGCACGTGTAAAATAAAACTTGAAGTTCTATTTAATTATTAATCTTTGATGAGCTAAATCTTTTTAGTGTAGAATGGTGGCCATCTTCAAGGTTACAGTACTGAGGAGGTCAAGGTATGTCAAGTGTCTATTTGTGTGCTCTTTCCTGGTGCATACTTTGTATAGTCACTATAGTGATAATCAATTAGTGAATCTACAGCTGATAGCACTACTTGCAAGACACCACAGGAAGAAATTACCAAACTTTGGTCATGTTTCCTTTAAGGAGTTTCCAATAGAGGTAGTGTCTTTTTAAACACATCCAATATTTTGAGAACTATACTTATTTGTGCTTTTATGTTTATTTCTGCATACTTTCTTTTTACTTTCAGGTAAAAAAGAAATTCAGATTTCTATGTGCAATTATCCGTATTTCAGTTGCACTGCAACAACATCGACGCATTGATTTCCAACAAATAGAATTTTCACACTCTTACGAAGGTTTTAAACTGGTATTCTCCAATCTAGTTTTCAATCAAACTTTCCCTCCTAAAGTAGGGTTCTTTTTCTTAGCATTTGTAAATTGTTTTTTATAAAACTACATAGAGTTAAACATATCCTGTACTATTAACAGTAGAGTAGTATTTTTATTGCTTTTTTAAAAGAAAATTAGTGATATTTGCATATGCTTACAACTTCTTGTGCCCAAGGGGGAAAAGAAAGCCTTGGTTGTTGTTATTGTATTCTTCCAAATTGATGATACAAAGCAGAACTTTCATCTTAAGTTCTGCAGTTAAGCAGACCATTGGACTGGTGAGAATATCATAATGGTAGGGACATCAATATATCCAATGCATTTTAACTATCACATAAGCTTGTTTGGTCTATATGCTCTGCATTTGCTTTGTAATTTTCCCCCACTGAATGTGTAGAGGCTATAAAATATAATACCAAGATTGCATCTATCATAGCTTATTTACTAACTTAAATATTGAGAGCTGCTTAAGGCAACTAACTCATGCAATTTCTTTTGTTTTTAGGCATGCGGTGGTGTAAAAGTTCAAAATTCCCCACCTTGCATTCTAGAGCCTTTAGCTGAGGATATTGGAGATGACCTAAGGCAAGAGTTAGAACACTTTAAGATGGTAATTTCTTTTTTTAAAAATTCCCTATTATTATTATTAAATTTTCTTATCTAACTGTATTTTCTTCAATACGATAAAATATTTTCTTCAATACGATAAAAGATGGACTTATATTTGTTGCCTTCAGGTATTCCATGAAGAACTACTCCTCCTTGTTCCTTCAAGTGTTTCAGGATGATCTGAGAGATAAGGATATTTTCACACAAGGTGTCACTTGATATGTCTTGAAAAAGTTCATATAACCCATAAATTCAGCATATACAAGGTTCCATGCTGTCTAGATCATAACACCTGTTATTCCTTTTGCAATGCCGCTTTCATATTTGATAAGTGATATGAGCAGTTCATGCCGTACAATTTTAGTAATCTGATAGTATTAGTATATCACACTTTTTGATTAAGAGAATGTACAGGCTTTGGCATGGAAGGACAGTCATGTTGCCCAAGTTGCAGGATAGCTCGTGTGAACCATTGATGTGGAGCTCATGGGTTGAATTGTGGTGTTGATACAGACTCATTTGTCCCAGACGATGTGGTTCAACTGAAACAGAGCACAAGCTGGAGAATTGGAGGTATTGTCCATTAAATTGTAATAGTTTTAATCTCAGAATTTCAATGTGTAACAGAAAGAGTTGTATGTCCTTTTAGTCTATAACAGATAAAATTTACGTACAAGCAAAAGGGAAAGATAAATGAAAATCTTGGATCTTTTTTTATTTTTCTGCTGGGTTGCAAGGATGTGAAATACAATGGTTCAGTTGCCATATGCTTATTGGGTACTCATTTGAGTTGAGACTTATCACCCAAGTTCCTTCCCCCCTCCTTTCTCTTTCTTCCCTCTCTTGCTGATCCCACATATTCACAGAAGGCAAAAGAAAAATGTGTGATCTAGTAAAGTCAAAACGCTGAAGGCATATTATTACCATGGAAAATAGTATCATCTGTTAGGCAATAATATGAGTTTCTTTGGTTTTCTGTTAATTTCTCCAAGGAGAGGCAAACTAGTATTTGTCACAACCTACAGAGTGGTCTGATGAGATGGAATGGATGTATAGAGCAGGCTTGGTCTTCCAGATTCTGAACATGATATTTGGAATTGAAACCCATGATATCTGGTTGGCCTAAAAGCTATGAACATGTGCTTTTGACATTCTAATTTAGGTGAAGGTTGTTTTCATCACCAAATTACTCAACGTGGTAGTAACTTTTAGCTGTCCTATTCATTTTCAACGATAGGAGAAGGATTTATCATAGACGTCAAGTACAAGTAGCAAGTAGGGTCACTGATGGCACATCATTTACATTTACATGTCCTTTTGTCTTGTTCCAAATTGAATACCAACCATAGTGTGTGAAATAGGGAGACCCACATCACCAAACTTGCGACTTAACCCTAATCATAATGCATATTGCATATTGCATATTGCATAATGCAGTTGGATGGAGGACAATTGTCAATTGAATTGAGTGTAGAACAGATCTAGACAGAAGGGTACATACACAAGCTCTCTCTAGCTTAGTCCAACACATAGTATGAAACTTGCCTCCACCGTATACGTTGGTTAGCTCAACCTACTTAGGATTACGGTCGGAGCAGGTGTAACTAGTTGTATGCAATCGATGATATGGAAGTTTTTCTCCCTGAACTAGAACTAGAACTAGAACTAGGTTCATTCCCTTCAAGTTAGAATGAGTTCAAACTCAAACAGTCACTAAGTAATTTTATACTTTCTCTAATCTCCCTTATAATATTGGGATTAAACCCAATCAAGTTGGCATCCTTGTCCTCAAGTTATGGTGGTGTTCTTGTTTTCGCGATCTATAATCATGATAGGGTTTACAATGCACGTTGAGTAGCAAGTAGGGGTCATATCACTGAATGACTTAGCATAATCTAGTACTACTTGTCTTGTCCTCCTGGATAAAAATTATCTTTGTATTGAAAAACATATGTGGACAGTGACTAAAGGCAGTGCATGATAACATGAACAAAAGCAAAAAGTTTCCTACGGTGTCACCTAGGGCATAGCATAAACAGTACAATGAAGTAGACAGGTTAACAAAATATTTGTCTTAATGAAAGATGAATTTTATATCATGTCATCTCCACCACCAATTTGGGCACCCCATCAGCTTCCTGAATTGGTTTGTTTATAATAGTTTCAGAAAGTTCATCATTTTTCTTTCTGACCACACATGGCTAAATGACAGTGACACCATTTCTTGATTCATATTGCATCTAATTGTGCAAAAACCCATCGATGTGGAGTACACCAACTTGATCAATTATATGAATATAGCATAAGATAATGATAGATTCTAAGGTTGAAGTATTAGATTAATGTTACTTTATAGTTTGTATTCACAAATTTATATCATACGACTTGATTTTGACACCACAACGAGTGACTTTCATAAACAATCACAAAATATGTTAGTTATGGCTTGTATGAGAATGCTTATGTTTATAAGCACTTTTTTAGAAGTGCTTCTATTAGAAGAATGTCAAAAATTTATTGAAAATCTAAATGCTACGTGAGGATGCATTGTGCTTTTTTATAAAGCGCTTTTGTGACTGTTAAGTACATACAAATGCTGTATTAAGTATTTTTGATTGTCAGAAAGCAATTTTAGCTCTTTCAGAAGCACTGCCAAACATACTCTTCGTGATTGCCAATCGTTGAACATAGTGGTTCAAAATAATCTTTAGATATTTATAAAAATACCCAATCCTACACATGTATTTATAAAAATACCCAAGCACTATTTAAACATAGAAACATACCCAAAATGGGTTTTGGGTATGTGTGTAATGATGGGTTTTGGGTATGTTTATAATGGGTTTTGAGTGTGTGTAATGATGAGTTTTAGGTATGTTTATAAAGTGTTTTGGGTGTTTGATATTTTTATAATTTCAGCCCCCATTTTGGGTATTTTAGTTAAACTCCCAATAATAGTTAAACTCCCAATAATCTTCGTGATTGCCAATCGTTGAACACAGTGGTTCAAAATAATCTTAAAAGACTATGGTGTGAGTCACGTGATTGTGACCACTTTTATTAAAACGTTATATTATATGTAACTGACCAAATTTTATCTTCTTTTCTTGTTGTCCAGGCAGGCATCGTACGTGTACCTGATGTGTCAATGTGTCAAAGACGGTCCATCAACTCCATGCCTATGCGTCATACGACACGTGTCAGTATGTAACATCAAATGTATTGGGGGGCCCTCTTGGGACAAAGCCCAAAAGTCGAAAAGGGATGCTGATCTTTTTGAATAAAACTATGAAATTGCTGTTTTCTATTGCAGGCCGCAAATGCATAACGGTGAAAACTGAACTTTCAAAGCCTGTCACCAAAAGCTCTAAAGTCACATCCAAAAACACATTACATTTTTTACCAAAAGAAAAAACATTAAATTTGGTAAAAGCAGAGGAGGCATGAAACATTAGAATTTTGTTCAGATTTTTCATTTCATAAATTACTTTTTCTTTTTCTTTTCCTTAATCCAATAATGTTTGGATATTCACAATTTCAGAGTTTACGATTACGTATTTACAAAATTTAAACAATTAAACGACATGTTTTCGACATATTTATAGTGTTAATATTGAATCAGTGGTCTCAGATTCGAACTTGTATAACACCTTAACAACGTGTGTGAAAAAAACTCCTCCCTTTACTTAATTTTGGCAATAACAAAAAACTAATAAATATTTTATTTTATTTATATATTTCCAGTTTACCAACTATAGTTGAAGTTTAATTGGAGTCAATCTTATCCAGTTGCTGGTTCGTTCGATTATCTTTGCACTCATCGTGAGCATGATGCATGGTCCAAGCCCAGCGGGAAGTCCCATTTATACAAGGGAGTTTCACTCAAATACCCAAAATGGGGGCTGAAATTATAAAATTAATCTTTTAACTCTATCAAATTTTACAATCTTTCAAATTCAACAAGAAGTTACACCAACCTTTTGCCCCCAATTGCTCTCTTAAACTCAATATGACATTTTTTCCCTTACCTTTTTTGTAATAACAAATTTGTGGAGAAAAACTTATATAAATCAATTTTTAAAGGCATGTTACAATTAAACGTTTCTATAATGATTACGTGTATTTTATATATACAACGGGCACACCATGTTCATATATATATATATATATATATATATATATATATATATATATATATATATATATATATATATATATATATATATATATATATATATATATATATATATATATATATATATATATATATAATAATTATTACGTGACTGACAGACACACTAATGTGCATTTCATATTTTCAAATTGTATAATTATTATGTACCGGACAGACACACTATGTCTATTTTATATATGATCTCATTGAGCTGACCAAGTAAAAATAAATTAAAAAATTTATTAATATTATAAATAGGGTAAATTTCACTTTACTACTTGAGAGTTTCCCGAAAGACTTTACTACCCCGAAATTTGACACGAAATTACTTAGAAAATTGAAGAGATATGAAATGCCCTTGGCCACTCATCAAAAGAGTATGAAAAAAAATATTGTAACAAAAAAAAAAGAGTATGAAAACCGAGTGGATAGGATGTGCACAATAGCCAATCTTAGCATGGGCACTCTCGCACCAAATTACTCAGAGCAGGTGCCCTTGGTCCTCATCACGTTCCCTTTTTCCTTTCCAGGACAGCTGTGCTCAACGAATCACCTGGCGCATTATAGCATCCGCCACCACCAGCCTTTTAGAGAGAGATCCGTTTGCGACTTCGCATAAAATAAAAACTCTTTTTTTTATACCATTTTCGGAAAGAAAAAAAATCCAGTGGGCCAGCCCGTATTACAGTGCCTTCTGATTCTCTTTGACCTTTTTTCCTAAAAAAAAAAAAATTTGTGTAGCCAGTTCTCTATTCTCTATATATATAGCGTTGGGGCGAAAAATTAAGGAAGCTCGACGGCAGAGTTTACGGAGAGATAAAAACGGTAAGTTTCGGCAGGCACTGTTTGGTTGCTAAGAAAATTCCCAGTGTTTAACTTTCATTTTGCCATTTCTTTTTCTTCTTATGTTGTTAGAAACTAAACTTCTTTGCTGTTTAAAATAGTTTCTCTCTCTTATTATAGAAAATAGTTTTTTTTTTCTTTCTTTTTTTTCTCTGCCTCAATGGTCAATGCTTAATGCTTCCGTGTATGTTTGTGTGATTTTTTTTTTTCATATATAACATATGGGTTTGTGTTTCTGTATGTTTGTGTGATTTTTTCATATATAACATATGGGTTTGTGTGATTTGTAATGCTTTGATCAATGCTTAATTGTAGTTCAGCTGCACTGTAAAAGAAGCTCTGTTCTCATTATAACTTAATGCTGTGCCATTTAAATGCTCTTTATATGACTAATTTTTTAGCGTTATACGAAGACATATCAGCTAGTTCTTGGATTATTTGTGCGCTATGCTACTTGTAGAGTCTCCGTTATGTTGATCATCGATTAAAAGGCCATGCTTGATTGTAAATAAAACTTATTTTCAGTCTCCAATTAATATGTTTTTTAAAATTAAGAAATGAAATAAACTGCCTAGTTGGTAGTGTGCAGACTGTTTTTTTCTTAACTGGATTTTGTTTATTGACTAACCAACTGTTGTATCTTCACAGGGTTTGAGTAATGATAGATAACCTTGGCTTTGTCACTTGCATTTGAATGATCTATA